TCGATGACTCACTGACACACCTCTGCACCTATGTATATGGTAGGGGGCCAGATTGGAGTTGAAATTCTAGCCAGATACTACAGCAACAAGCCAGCCTAGTGGTGGTCACTGCTAGAGTAGTGAGGAGGATTGAGTCCTTCCCATCCTTCCACTTCTCCACTGGCCAGAGGACAACCTTGTAAACTTCTAACATTTGGAAGATTTGGACTTCCTATTGGCCTTGGTAGTGGCATACCTGGAGAGTGACCTCTGCATTGTTTTGGAGTTGAGAGACTCATTAAGGATAAACTCAATACCAAAAAAAGGCCCCTTTGGGACTCAGGAGGGGGACCTGAACTCCAGAACCCAGAAGAGAGCTACAGCCAAGGGGAATTTCACAAGAATTCATGAAGGGAAAAGAGGACTTCTGATAACCAGGAGCCATGAATAGGCCCTCTGTATGTGAGACCCACAGATCTTGTGATTGGGAGACTGGACTGTGGTTTGAGAGGAATGTTTTATACCGTTCTTCCTGTGCCACCTCAGCATATATCCCTTTGTAAAATCCAATCAATGCTGGCTGCTTACTTAATAATCAGTGGGGACTATGCTGGATGGCGGCTACTGAGCAACAGTACTAGAGACCCCCAGGCTTTCAGGGTCACCTCTAAGATTCTGAGAGGAGAAGTCAGCTTCCCCTTGGGGGCCTGTCCTAACAATTGAAGTGGGAATTAGAGAATTAGTTATAGAACGAGCATTATATCTTATTAAACATAAACAAGATAGGTTAAAAGAAGGATAGGATAGGAATTGGGACTGGACTTATGATTTTGATTTCATTAGTATTTGGAACTCCCTAGTGAGGGAACCCCTTTTACCTAATGTAGGCTGTAGGTTCTGGGGGGCAGCTGGATGGCATAATGGAGAAGGTGCTGATCTTGGAGTCAGGAAGGCTTGAATTCAGATCCAACCTCAGACAGTTACTATCTGTGTGGCCCTGGGTAAGTCACTTAATCATGTTTGCCTCCATTTATTCATCTGTAAAATGAGCCGGAGAAGGAAATGGCTCTAGTATCTTTGCCAAAAACACCCCAAATGGGGTCACAAAGAGTTGGACATGACTGAAATGACTGAACAGTAGCTATACCTTCTCGATAACAGAGTCCGAGGCCATTGCCTGGAGAGAGCCTGAGAAGCTGTGACTTTCCTAGGGTCACACAGCCAGTAAGTGCCAGAGACTCCCCTACACTATGCTGCCTCCTAGTAAAAGGGGGGAAGGCGATAATGAGCCATACTCACGTGAGGAAGTCCAGGAGCTAGACAGTGTGGGTGAAGATCAATGGACACAAAAACGATGCTGTCATCAGAATATACCAGAGATCCCTTGAACTGACTGAGGACATCAAAAGTGAGTTTAGGAAAATATGGAAGATTACAAAGGTAACCCATTATATTGAGACAGCTAAGTGGCCCAGTGGACAGAATGCTAGACTTAAGAGTCGGGAAGACCTGAGTTCAAATTCTTTCTCACACACTGACTAGCTTTGTGAACCTAGGCAAATCACTGGAGCACAGATTACAACCCTGGAACAGAGAAATGATATAGTAGTAATAAGAGACTTAAAATTATTAACATGCATATGAAAGAAAGCCCTAGATCACTAATAAGAGAAAGACAAATCCAAATAACCCTGAGTTTCCCTCACACTTAGCAAACTGGCAAAGATAACAGAAGACTGGAATAGTCAATATTGTGGGGTTTTTGGAAAGATGAGCACACTGATGCATTGTGAGTAAAGCTATAGATTGGTGAATATGACTATTGGAAAAACAATTGAGAATTATGCAAAGAAAGTAGTATGTCTCTGTCCTTTGACTTAGAGATTCCAATTCTAGGCACATGCCCAAAGGAGATCGCTAGCAAAAAGGACCCACAATGCAGCAAAATATTTATAGAAACACTTTTTCTTTGGATACAAAATAGATGAAGAGAGGGACTCTGAGACTGAAGAGAGGAAGGAGTGCATTCGAAGGCATGGGGGATACGCCAAGGTCCCATCTTCTCTAGGTGGGCTTGTCAGCTCTGTGGTGGTGGCTGGAGTAGGGAGAGCCTGGAGGCCACTGCCCTCATCTGGGTGACAGGTGGGTCTGGAAGGGGGCAGGAATGAAGTGGAAGGGGTGCAGCTGTGGAGTAAGACATGGCAAGACTCACCAGCTGACTGGTTATGTGGGGTGAGAACTCAGTTTCTGCAGGTCCCACAGCTGCAGCTGCTTCTCCTGAAGTCTTTCTTACTTTCCCCCTGTAGATCTTCATGAAAATCTGCCTCCTGGAGGTCCCGGGGGCCTCCCTGAGCTGCCTCTTCTGGGACCTCAACTGAGAAGGGCAGAGAAGAAACATCTGTTAGGCTAAACCACAGGCTTAGTAAACCGGGGGTGGGGGGTGGGGGTGGTGCTGGGAGCCCCAGGAGGTTTAGGTCCTCACCCAGCCCCTCAAGCAACATCCCTCCACAATCCCTGGCAGCCTCAGGTATAGTGTCACCATCAGCTGGGCAAATGCCGGCCATCTGAGGGTATTAAGGTAATGGCCACTTGTCTGAGAAATACCCTAAAAGACCCTGAAGTAAGTTTTATGGCTGGTTTTTAAAAATCCCATTGTGTCAGAAATGGTGATGTTCACATGCATTTTTTTTCCCTCCTTCCCTAATAGATGCCAGTCAGTCAGTGACTAGCATCTAACAAGTGTATTACTGTGCCAGGCACTGTCATGCATTTTCAACATTCTTTCCTGTCCTTTGCTGCTGCATTTTTGTAAAACAGCTCTTTCCTTCTTTTCTTGACCTCTTTGGGGATGCATGTCTAGTGGTGTTCTCACTGGGTCACAGGGATGTATCATTTAGTGACTTTTTTCACAGAATTCCAGATTGTTTTCCAGAGCTTTGGGATCAATTCAGGTCCACCAAGGGGGCACCCTTGTGCCTTTCTGCCCACTGCCCCCCGACATTTGCTCTTGTCATCTTTTCTCATCTTTGGCAGTTTGATGGGTATGGGCTGAAACTCCAGAATGATGGTCTTCAAGCAAAGGCAGGATGATCACTTGTCAGGTGTCCAGACTGGGCTGAATGACCTCTGACATCCCTTGCATCTCACTTCAGTAGACAACTCTAAGCACCCCTTATTAGCAGGGTAAAGATGTGGCTTCCAAGTTGTTTTAATCTGCACATCTCTGATCATCTGAGAATCTGAATACATTTTCAGGTGCTTGCTTATCATCTGTGTTGCTTTTTCAAGGCCTGCTCAGTCACATTCCTTGGGTATGCATCTGCCTAGAAGGGAACAGATTCCACACTAATAGAAGAGGTACATCAGATCCTTCTCGGATTGGAATGAGGCATTTTCATCAGACCTGGATGGAAGGGGCAGCTCCCCTGAGGATCACCAGCAGACCCCTAAAGCTACACCTCAAGCAGTGGCTTGGGGTTTGTAACTGAAAGGATTACTTACTGCGCAGTTTCCATTTAGGTTCAGATCTCAAGATATAATGATATGTACTCAGTATGAACTTAACAAATAATCACATTTATTTTACAATGATTAATAATGATTACAGCAAAACACACATGCATAAAGATGAGAATAACATTCAATATAATAAGTAATAATCAAAATAAAGGGGGAATAAGAAAAGAAAGGATACACACTCACTGACCAGGCGAGCTCAAATGCCTAATTAACTGGGGAGAATGAAGAACAGCCAAGAGGTCTTGGTCAGGGACCAAGTGGGGTGGCGTCCCACTCCAACTTGACGGAAGCCATGCACGCGATCCGCTTCTGAACACAACAGAGATTCGATGTCCCCATCTCTGACATCAGAGCACTCCAAAAATCCCCTTCCAAATGACCCCTTTTATATCTATGTAAACCAGGGAAAAACAAACTTGATTTTTTGTTTTGTGTACATATCCTTGGTGAGCTCATGTCCAGGTATGCACACATCTTTAACAAAGGTTGGGGCTTGATCAGAGCCCCCAAATACCTGTTTGTTGTGTAAGTCTCCAAGGAGTGATCAGTTCCTTGGACAGTTACACACCTTTCTCAAGAAAAATGTTCCTTGAGATGAACTGCTTTTCCGGGTAACACAGTTTGTTAGTTATTTAATGTTCTGTCTCCATAGTCACCTCGGCCATGCATGGTAACCCCCATTTATCTTTATGTCAGGTTATGAGACAGTTATGCCAGGGGGCTGGGGAGGATCTATCCTCCTCAGTTTCCCTTACAGGGTTTCACCTCTATGCCTGGGGCACACACAGCCAGTGAGTGTTTCTGTGATCCCCCGAGGGAAAACACCCCATCCTCTGGTGTTAGGAAAGAGGGCACGCAGCCAGGCAACCTGAATCTCATGCAGGGAGCTGGTAGCAGAGGGAGAAGAAAAATTATCAGCTTCTTCCTTCACCCAAGGAGAAGTTGTGGAGAGATGCAGCTGTGGTAGAAAGGTGACAGAGCAGGCACCAAGCAGCAATGCTTTCGCCCCACACCAAATAATGAAGACCATTATTGGGGCCATGAGGGAAGAGCCAAACAACCCAAAACAAGGACCTTGTGTCACAAACTCTTTTTCCATGTTGATCAAGGCCACCTAATTGTGGTAAAACTGAGAAGTCAAATAATACATCGAGGCAGGTGCAGAACTGAAAGACAAATGGGGGATAGTACGACGCGAGGAGAGGGAGGCACAAAGTTTGAAGATGGATGAAGAGGCAATCACCAGGGTACAGAGATCACACCAGGACTGGAACAGTCTCATAGTGACCACGCCAGTCGAGCATTGTTCCACATGCATTCAGCATACATTTCCAATCAGAAAGAAAATTTCTTCTCTAGACTCTTCAGGATGGCACAGCAACGTCAAGCTCTCTAGGAACACAATAAGAATGGACTAGAATCCTGATTCCATAAGGGTTCTCTGCATTACAAATTCGAGGGTGAGCAAGGAGTTTTATGCTCCATGTAAAACCTGGTCCTAGTTAATTCAACTCAAACATTTATTATCCACCAACTGAGTACACAGAACTATTATTGGTGCTGGGGAAGGCACAGAGTTTACATTCAATGTCAAACATGTAGACAAAAAACAAAAGTAACCTGGAGACTTCCCTTGAACAAAAGGGATTAGAAGAGGTGTAGGTGAGGAAAATGTGCATTCCAGGCATGAGGGAAAGCCAGTGTACAGGCCCAGAGATGTAGAATGCTCTGTGTGAGGAACAGATCCCAGTCAAGATGGACTTTGAATTCCATCCTTGGGGCAACAGGAAGCCACTGGAGGTTCTTGGAATGAGGAGCCATGTGGAGAGACAGACTTCAGGAATATCACTCTGGTGGCTGAGGATGAATTGGAGAAGGAAAAGTCTCCTGGAGGAAGGGAGATCAATTAGGAGGCCACTATAATAGTCTGGGTAAAAAGTCTGTAATAGGTTGTAAGTAAAGAGAGGGGAGGGATGTGAGAGATACTGTAGAGGGAAAACAGAAAAGAGTTGATAAAAGAGATACCTAAGAAGTAGGGGGAAAAAAAGGAAAAGGAAGAGGGCCCAGAATAGACTCTTGGAGAACCCCTGATAGGAAGACCAGGAAAGGGGCAATGTAAAGGGGAGAGAGAAGATACAGTTAAAGAGACAGGAGGAGAACCAAGTGTGGGCTCTCTGAGGAACAGAGAACATGGAACCACAGGGTGCCCAAGAGTCACACAGAATGATAGGAAGTAAATAGGAGGATAAGGAGCAAACAAGAGTCTCTTTGATTTGGCAACTAGTTGTCATTGGCAACTCTGAGAGCAGCTTCAGAAGACCATCTGGAATGGAAACCATGGGGTTTTTTTTAAGTCCTGGTGAGACCTGGGTCTGTCCTGTGTAGCTTGGCCAACTCACCTGACGTCCATAGGCCTCAGGCTCTTCCTGAGTAAAACACGGGGGTTGAACTTAAAGGTCTGAGGTTCCTCCCAGCTCTGCACTTAGAATCCTATGACTCAATGTTTTTAGAAAGTTGGGAAAGAGTCAGGGGAGAGAGAGACACTGCAGACGTGTTAGAGTGTGGACGACTTGCACACTGAGTTCCAGGAACAAGCAGAGGAGGACCAGATGCAGTGGGCTGGGGCAGACCTTCCAACACTGATATTCTGTGGTTCTGGGAATCTCCTAATAGACTATAAATGTGCTGCTCTGCCTCATGACCTTTGCAATCTTTACATTCTTTCTTAACATTTTTCCCTAACATGAATTCTCTGATGAAGAGTAAGTTTTGATCTCTGGCTGAAGGCATCCCCATATTTATTACGTTCATAAGGTTTCTCATCAATATGAATTCCCTGATGTAGAGTAAGTTCTGACTTCCATCTAAAGGTCTTTCCACATTCATTACATTCATAAAATTTCTCTCTAGTATGGATTATCTGATGTACATTAAAATGTGAGATCTGTCTGAAAGCCTTCCCACATTCACTACATTTATAAGGTTTTTCTCCAGTATGCACTCTCTGATGTGCAGTAAGTCCTGTTCTGAAACTGAAGGCTTTCCCACATTCATCACATTCATAAGGTTTCTCTCCAGTGTGAATTCTCTGATGTTGAATGAGGTACGAGTGGCACATGAAAACCTTCCTACATTCACTGCATTCATAAGGTTTCTCTCCAGTATGAATTCTCTGATGTATAATGAGTTGAGACCTATGGCTGAAGACTTTCTCACATTCATTACATTCATAAGATTTCTCTCCAGTGTGAATGATCTGATGTACATTAAAATGTGAACTCTGTCTGAAAGCCTTTCCACATTCATTACATTTATAAGGTTTTTCTCCACTATGCACTCTCTGATGTACAGTAAGGCCTGTCCTCAAACTGAAGGCTTTCCCACATTCATCACATTCATAAGGTTTCTCTCCAGTGTGAATTCTCTGGTGCTGAGTAAGGTGTGAGTGCCATTTGAAGACCTTCCAACATTCATTACATTCGTAAGTTTTTTCTCCAGTATGAATTCTCTGATGTACAATGAGTTGAGACCTCTGGCTGAAGACTTTCTCACATTCTTTACATTTATAATGTTTCTCCCTAGCATGAATTCTCTGATGCTGAATACACTGTGAACTCTGTGTGAAGGCCTTCCCACATTTATCACATTCATAAGGTTTCTCACCAATATGAACTTTCTGATGTAGAGTATGTTCTGACCTCCATTTAAAGGTCTTTCCACATTCATTACATTCATAAGATTTCTCTCTAGTATGAATTATCTGATGTTCATTAAAATGTGAGATCTGTCTGAAAGCCTTTCCACATTTATTACATTTATAAGGTTTTTCTCCAGTATGCACTCTCTGATGTACAGTAAGGCCTGTTCTGAATCTGAAGGCTTTCCCACATTCATCACATTCATAAGGTTTCTCTCCAGTGTGAATTCTCTGGTGCTTAATAAGGTGTGAGTGCCATTTGAAGACTTTCCAACATTCATTGCATTCATAATTTTTCTCTCCAGTATGAATTCTCTGATGTTGAATACATTGTGAGCTCTGTGTGAAGGCCTTCCCACATTCTTTGCATTCATAAGGTTTCTCTCCAGTATGGATTCTCTGATGTTGAGTAAGTCCTGTGATCCATCTGAAGGTCTTCCCACATTCCTTGCATTTATAAGGTTTTTCTCCAGTATGGATTCTCTGGTGTCCATCAAGGTGTGAACGCCGGCTAAAGGCCTTCCCACATTCATCACACTTATATGATGGTTTCTTGCTAGTATGAATTCTGTGATGTACATTCAGTTGTGAGACTTTGGGCAATGCCTTCCCATATTCATCACATTTATGGGGTTTCTCTCCAGTATGAATTCTGTGAAGAGAAGTAATAGGTTAATAATAGTTAAAAGGGTCTCCACATTCATTATAGCATTTTTTTAAACAACATATCCTAAGATAACCAGAAGGATATTAAAATTTAAGCATTTCAGACATGCATTACTTAGGAGATCACTTCCTGCAGTAGATTCTGTTACATTTACATAGGTCTGAATAGATTCAAACTCTTGCTCTGGGGATCACATTCATGGAGAACTCTGTCCTACAGACGCTATCCACTGAAGAAAAAGGACTGGTCGTAGACTGAAAATTAAGCCATGTCTGTTTCTTTCATGGCCTCTCACTTTATTAGGATTTTCCTTAGGAGGACTTCTACTTGCCTAGACTGGATCTCCTCATCACACCAGTTCCTTTTCAACCTGGTGTTAGGTTCTGAAGCTTCTCCCCACTTGGAGAAACAGGGATGATCCTTTGTGAGCCGTTCAGGTGAAGATTCTTCTGAAGGAGCACCAAGCTGTGAAGCAGACTTCCTGGGTTCAGGGATAACCTCTGAATCTGTGCAGGTGAAAGTATAAAAAACCCCCTCAAAACTCTTTTACCCTGGCTAGGAGAAAGGTAATTTGCTGCTTACTTAGTTCTGTCTTCTCTCTCCTCCCTCAGGAAATTACTGTCAGGGTCACAGATTAAGACACATAAGACGCCACCTTTTGTTTATCATAATATTTGTAGTGTTTTTACATAGTTCTCTGTGGTTTGTCATTCTTTATTATTTAAAAAGTTCTACTAATGCATTACTATTTCTTCCATGTTATAACATGTGTGAAAGGCAGATAAAGATGCTCTTACAGGCCTGAGAAAAACAAAGGATTTTTATATCATCAAAATATTAAACAGGCCACTGGAACTTAGGTCACTTAATCTGGAAAGTTAGATCCAGTATTAACTCCTACAATATCATGAAAGTAAAATTTTAACTTCTTTTGTTCTTTTCTTACCTCTTTCCAAAAAATAATGTTCATAAACCCTAACGATGAGCTTAATTTCAAGTTTGTGAGACACTGTCATGAAGAATTTGCTGGTAAAATTAAAAAAAAAATAGGAATTTTTTTTGAGAGCTTTATTCTGGAAACATTCAGAAACTTTTTTTTTATAATTCTGGAAACATTTTACTTACACTAAACTAATTATGAGATATATATGCATTTTTAATACTGCCAAAAAGATAGGCTAATGATTTATAAGTTTTGCTAGTACAATAAAGATTTTAAAATGAGCACACATAATATTATTCCTACCCCATTATTTCCCTCACAAGTTATATTTATAATAAAGCCATAAGGAAAACTGCATTACATTGGATCAGCATACCCCAAGGAACAGGGCATAGATGCTCAAGGGTCAGTCTGAAGTTCAACACTCATTTTATTGTGCACAGGTAGTTTTAATAAAACAAAGTACATTTACTGCATCCTCTCCATATTTAGTAAGGACAGCATATTTTCTAAGGAGAAACAAGCTTATGAAAGCTTATGAAATAAGGGCTCCTTGAGGAATAGCGCCTACCAGGAGAGAAGAACATTATACATTCTCCTTCCAACAAACTTTGGTACAAGAAACTCAACAGGAGAATCAGATTTTGGGAAGCCCTGGGAGATGCAGGAGCAGGCCGCAGAGATGGCTTGCTCCTCACCAACAGCCATTCCTTTAAGAAAGGGTATTTTTCAATCAGTGGGGAAATGGGAGCAAACTTGGATAGGACATGCTCAAATAGGAACTTTTCAGGTGGCTAATTTGTCATCTAGTCATTTTTCAGTCACGTCTGATTCTTCATGGCCCCACTTGGGGTTTTCTTGGCAAAGATACTAAGCTATTTTGTCATTTCCTTCTCCCAACTCCTCTGATGGATGAGGAAACCGAGACAAACAGGGATAAGTGACTTGCCCAGGATCACACAGCTAGTAAGTGTCTGGATTTGAACTCAGGTCTTCCTGACTCTAGGCCCTGTGCTCTCTACACTGTGCCATCTAGCTGCCCTGGGCTAACTCACACAGCTCATTTTACTAAATTGTTTGGAATAAAACAGGAGAAATACTTCTTGTTTTAGAGTCCTACATTTTTGATAGTTGCATCATTTTTACTGCACTGAGCACAACTCAGTTGTGGAAACTGAATATCTCTTCAATCCTCTTCCCTGTTTTTTTTTTTATTGGTAATATGCACAACTACTAATTTTTTTGTGAATTTATTCACTCTGCTATGAAGTCTCTCCACTTCCTCATGCTTTTCCTTGGATTTTCCAAGTAAACCACTATACCTTTAGCTAGCGATATCATCCCTCCTATTTGCTGATGTTTACTCCTTTGTTTTCCCCTCATAGCTTACTGCCATATTCAGTACTTCCAGCACTATGTCAAATAATAAATTAAAAAGGAGTTACCTTTGCTTCATTCCCTGTATATACTGGGAAAATTTTCAGTATTCCTCCTTGAGAATAATGCTGGCTCTTGGTTTTAAGTACATATTTTTGATCATATTTAAGAATGAAAATTCCATTCAGGGAAGAGAGGTTTAAAAGAAGTAGTTTATTTTATTCAAGGCCTTTTCAATGTCTAGTGACATTATCATCTGGTCTTTATTTTCTTTACTTCTATTTTTTTTTTGATGCTGAGCAATCCTGGCATCCCTGACATGAATCCAACTTGATTATGACAAATAATCGTTAAAGAAGCTACTTGAGAAGATTAAAAACAAAATACAAAATACAGGATACAAAATAAGCACACAAAACTAACCAGCAGTTCAGTATGTCTCTAACAAAAAAAAAACAACAACAGCAAAGGGGAATGAAAGAGATCCAAAAAATGAGAATAAACAGAAATCATCTGGGAGAAATCTAAGATAAAGAAGCAAACCTGACCTCTCTGAATCTTGTTGAAATGAGACCCATGATGGGAATATGGCTGTCAGAGGGGAATCTTATTAAAAAGAAACAGGAGAGGTCAAAGAGGGAATGGGGTCTCGGTGCATATTAAAGGAAGTGCCTACTATGGGGCAAGCACAGCAGTGCTAAAGCACTCTTACACACATTATCTCATTGGAGCCTTAGAACAAGCCTGTGAGGTAGGTGCCATTATTATGCTCATTTTACAGTTGAGGAAACTGAAGCAGACAGAAGTTAAGTCGCTTGCTGAGGGTCACACAGGTAGTAAGTGTCTGAGGCTGGATCTGAACTCAAGTCTTTCTGGCTCTAAGCCTGGTGCTCTATCCAATATGCTACCTTCCGTCATGCCATGTAGGGAAATCCAGGAAACGGGGGAGGGAAGCCTGGTGGCAAGCATCTGGATGAAGATCAATGGAAGTAGAAACAGAAGCGATTTTATCACTGAAGTAAATACAGACTGGTTAGACTGGGGTGGGGAACATGCGGCTTCGAGGGCCCATGTGGCCCTCTAGGTCCTCAGGAGCAGCCCTCTGACTGAATCCAAACTTCACAGAACAAATCCCCTTCACAAAGGGCTGTGCACCTAAGGACCCAGAAGGCCACATGTGGCCTCCAGGCTGTGCACGTTCCCTACCCCTGGACTGGACAGAAAGAAAAAAGACCGGCCAATCTGGGGACCATAATAAACCTGGTTTAGAGGTATGACATGGTGATGACTTTGTTCTTGTTCAGCTGTTTCAACTCTGTTCAGCCCTTCATGACCCCTTTTGGGGTCATGTCTTGGCAGAGACAGTGAAGTGGTTGCTATATTCTTTTCTGGCTCATTTTACAGATCAAGAAACTGAGGCAAACAGGGTTAAGTGACTTGCCCAGGATCACACAGCTAGTAAGTACCTGAGGATACATTTGAACTCAGGTCTCCCTGACTCCCAGTCCACTTCTCTATTCACCTTCAATTGAACAGACATCTTCTGGAGTTCTCTCAGAGAAAAGCTGAGTAGCTAATCTTCTGATCTGTCTGAAAGACCATTTCATCCTTCTAAAAGAAGGCAAATGGGTTGGAGAACATATCTCTATGCTCTAGAAAACAATACTGGGAAATTCTCTCTTGGACAGGATTCTCACTGAACAGGAAGATCTGGCCACTGGGGTGTAAACGACTGGGAACACTGGGAAGAAATGACGACTTCCTCTCTAGAGCCTGTGATAGAAAAGGTGACGGAATCTGCAAGCCATCTTGTGGGTGGTTTGGTTTTGGGAGAAAGGATTTCCAGCTAAGAAGAAACATGCTACGAGGACTAGGCAGCCGTCTGACAAGATCAGAGAGGATGAAGTGAAAAGTCACCAGCCAACTGTACAGAAGACAGAAGCAAGGGCAGGTAACACTGCACGGCTGGAAGAATGTGGCACTGTCTCGTAAAAACAGCATCAGAAGGTAAGAAAAAAACCTTTTTTTTAAAGCTACATTGGGAGAAAGATCAAGGAAGAGATAAGACTGTTGTTTGGATCAATGGGATGACAGTAACTGACACCAGAGAGAAGACAGAACTGATCCGTTCCTTCTGGCCACTTTTTTTGTGGTTTATAATCTTCGGAGACTTGTCAGGGGCGCCAGGAGGTTTTGACTGGCCACGGTCACACATAGTCAGAAGCAGCTCTTGAGCTTGGGTCTCCCTGAATCCAGGTGCTGCGCTCTACCCACAGACATATGGAAGAATGTATATATTCTGTCCTTGCTTTGAATGGGACTTCTCTTTTGAATTAGTTCTTCCTTTTGGGTACTGCTGTGTAAAAATGCTGTTGTTGGTGAACTTGTTTCCTACCCTGCTACTGGAAGAAGCAAAAATCTTTCCTTTAGCTCCTCTGTTGATTTTTTTCTCAGTAAACCATTATGCCATCAGCCAATATGCAGAAATGTGTCTCCTCTGCCCGTGGTTCTGCCTTGATTTCTTTCCCTTTTCTTCCTCTTATCATTAGCAGGTCTAGAACTATGCCAGGTAACATCAAGGAAAGAGGCATCCTGGCTTTACTCATGAATTTATTGGGGGAAGTCCTGGTCTTTCCCTTGCACGTAAAGCTAGCTTTAGTTTTAGCTATGCATTTCTTTTAACCATATTATAAAATTAAAAAGGTCCTTCTAGGCCAGGCCTTACCTGAGCAGGATTTTTTTCGTTTTGCTTTTGGCACAAATGAGAACGACTGAGCGCTCATTCAGAAAGGCATTGGAATGGTCAGACTACATTGCTATTGTATGGGTGTGGCCTGACTGCCTAACCCATGGCCTTTGTCTATGTAAAGTGTCCCACATTCAATGACAATATCACTTTTGTATGTCCAGCCCCTGACCTGTCCCCAGATGCTCTCTCCTCGGTTCCTAGGTTTCTCTCCCTGTTAATATATTTTCTTCATGCGCAAAGTTCCCCCAGCTCTACTTTATACCTCTCACTTCTTCAGAATAAAGTAGACGCCTCCACAGCTCCACTGCCGTCATGGGTCTCATTCCACAGTCTGAGGGGCGCCATGAAGATCGACTCTGCCCCTTGGCCCTGGAATCTCTCCGTCACTTTGTTTAGTGCCCAGACTTTGTGCCTGTGCTCTGACACCCGGGGCCATCGGCATCACAAATGTTTCCCTTTTGGGAGGTCGTCTCTTGGGAGCTTTTGAGTGTTTCAACAGCAGGAATCTGTCTTCCTAGACTACGGCATCTGCAGCTTGGTGGACCCATGCAGGAATTTGTGTCACTCTGACTTGCTTTTGGTTGGACTTTCAAGATGTCAGAGTCTCAGATTTCTTTTTCAGTTCAGCAGCCCTACATTTTCCCGCCCCTCTGCAGACCATTTTTCCATGGTCCGATCTCCCAATCCAAGTCAAGATTCCCCTCTGACTTATCAGAACTTCTTCCCTTCATGGGCTTCTTCCAGCTTTAAGGAACACGTCGTCATTCCAAGAAAACCAGAGTGTGGACAAATAAGTGTTTGGAGGTCATCAAACTAATCTGGGCATGTAAGCACCAGGCTTTCAACATAGCAGATACACTATAAATAACTGCACACCCAATGCAAATCCCTGCAAACTTTACCCACTCCTCTGTTCTCACTGGTAACTTTATGTATCTTTTAGCCTTTTTGTCCATTATTTCCTTCCCAGGTGAACATCCTTTGATTATCCCCTGGAGAATCACACCCAGCCACCTTCCTAATCTTTGCCAATTTGTTTCTCACTTACCTTGCCTCACCAACTACCTTCTCTTTATTCCACAGTATACTTCCTCCTTGGGTCCTTTTCCTCCTTCACAGTGGATCTCCTTTGCCCTCCTTTAGTTCAAATCCACCTCCTTCAAGTTCTCCCAAATCTGTGCTTGCCCAGTTCAGTCCCTGGCCTTCTACACAACTCCCAAGCCTCCCGGGTCATCGTCACAATTCCCTGCTCTTTATTCAGCTTCACATCCATTCCCTCCTCTAAAGCAACCCAGCCCCACAGACCCAGAGTGACATAAATGGTCACAGTCTGATGCAATGATCCCATAGCTGGGACCGTCCCCCTAAGTGACTGAAAGGAAATGAAAACCCCAGTCTACAGACATAGTTCTAAAGGCTGGATGAGAAAGGTGAAAGGCCTGGAGATGACCCAGTGACTACACAAGGCCTGGCATCTTCTGCGTGACTGACTCTGCAGGCTTGTCACTGAAAAGCACAGACATGAGGAGGATCCACAGTCATGGGGATGGGAAGCAAGCAGGATCAGAGTGCAAGCAACGACTCTAATCAGGGAGAATAACACAGCAACAAAACCTTACTACCCAGAAGAAAAGGACAGAGACACCCAAAGGGCCTACTGGTTATTATAGTTTAAGGAATATACGAACGTGAAGAGAATGAACAGATGAAGGGGAGGCCAGGGAATGGGCTGCCTGCCCCAATGTTCAGTCCTAGCTGAGGCACAGCCAAGGAGGGACGTGTCAGAAGAGTGATGTCCTGCAGGGAAGAGGAGGCTCTGGGAAGGTGCTCAGGCCTGGAAGCTCCCGGGAGAGCTGCCTGGCCACCCATTTAGAAGGGCTTCCCCCACAAATGACCAACTGTCAGTCACCATGACTCACCTGCACAGCTGCTCTGGGAGACATCTCCCTCTGGCACCCAAGGGGCTTCCCCTCTCTCCAGCTGGCAGATCACATCTGGCTTGGAAATGGCCAGGCCTGTTCATGGAAAAGATCTGCTGTCAGAGAATCCCCCCAAAGAGCTCAATCCTGGTTCCTTCACCCCTCTGGAAAAACACAGCATGCTGGGAATGCCCACAGGACCATTGAAGGATGCTCTGAATCTTGTTACCTAGAAGCAGGGAGGAACAGGCCCCGCAGTGGAGCTGGGCTCAGAAAGACACTAGGTCATTTGACCCAAGCCCAGCTAAGAGGATGGAGACTGTTGATGTCTTCAAGATATCTGGCATGAGAAGGGAGGACTTGGGGTGGGGCAGCCTCAGGAACAACACAATGCAGCAGCCAGATTGCAGGTGTACAAAGACCCTTCACCTGGGAACAGGCGAGTAAGGTAACTCTGTATCCTCTATGCCAGAGAGGGACTGGGAATCTCTGGTCTCTGGATGCCAGACAACAGCAAACACTCAAGAATTGCCACAGCACTTCCTAGGAGGAAAGAAAGACCCTGCCTTGGGGCAGCCCGTGGTCCTCACCCAGGCAGACGAGGTTCCTGTAGTTCTCCAGCATCACCTCCTGGTACAGTTCCTTCTGAGCAGGGGTGAGCCACCCCCACTCCTCCAAGGAGAAGTCAATTGCCACCTCCCTGAAGGTCACTGATTCCTGAAATAACAAAGACTTGAGTAAGCGCTTACCCAGGGACAGTCCTTCTGATGGACCAGTGAGGCTGACGGAGTTTGTAAGAAGTAGTTCTTGCCCTGCCTAGGAATGCAGTGTTCCAAGTCCCACATCTATGGAGGACCTACTATGTGCAGGGCTTGTACGAGCTTCTGAACGAGGCAACCAAATGAGACTACTCTCACTGCATTTGTGATGAACTGACCTTTCTGTGTCACAAAGTGCCTACTTGAAAACAACTCTGTGAAGCAGGCCCTGCAGACACTCGTCATCACCCCCATCGTAAGCATGAGAAAGCTGAATCCAAGGAACTCCAGCATCTAAGGCCTGGGAGCAGCCTAAGAGGCCACCTCAGCCAAGTATCCTGTATGTGCTGTGTCCAGCCAGGGCCTGCCCAGGCTCCAGTGGAAGACCCCAGGGAAGGGCCATCCACAGGAGCTGCAGCACCCCATTCCACTGCCCAAGAGCTGCAGCCATGGGGGCTTCCTTACCTCATGCTAAATCTGGCACTCTGCCATTCCTGGACCCAAGCAGAACAAGCCTATTCCCTCTTCCACCAGAGAGCCCTTCAAATACTTGAAGGCAGACATCGTGGTCCCCTGAGTCTGCTCTTCCTTCAAGTAGCCCTCCAATGGCATGTTCCCGAGGCCCTTCTCCTTCCTGGCTGTGGGCCTCCTCACCCCCATGATCCAGCACTTATCCACATCCTTCAGCTCTGGACGTGATAAACGCACAGATGTAGTCTGATGAGAGCAGAGGCCAGAGAAACCATCACCTTCCCAGGCCAGGCACTGTGCCCCCTAACACTGCCTACACTGATCTGACACAGAGAAAAGTGTCCCCTGGGTGGTCACTACTCCAGGGGGATGGTCAGTGAGTCCAGTCAGAACCCACCCTGAGCCTAAGGTGAAGGAGACAATCCAGTTCACACTGAGTGTGCACACTCGTGCCAGTCAACTCTTACTTGAACATGGCTATGTGCCCAAGGTCCCTGCTATGATGGGGTGACATCCTTACCTCTCAGAGTTCTAGGGGTAGGCCTGTTGAGGAAATGTACACTGCCCTTTTTGTCCTCACTGGCCCCTGAGCCCCCATCCAAGGTCTATTTACACAACCAAGTACTCATGATCATGACATTTTAAGATCTTATGTCCTCTGGCCTCTTTTCTTCTAGCCCGTCCTACTTCACCTGGTGACCTGGTCAGCTCCCATGATCTATCTCCCATCTTTGTGTTGAGAATTCTCAAATACATCTACCCTATGCCAGGCTCTCTGCTCAGCTCCCATCTCCAATCCTATTTCAGACATCTCCAACTGAATGTCCAGCAGACATCTTAAAGGCAACCGGTCCAAACCGGAATTCATTCTCTTCCCCCAGTCCCCATCAGTGTTCCAGGGCATCCTCCTCTCAGTCCCCAGGCTCCCAATCTGGGCATCATCCTGGGTGCCTCATTCCCCTCACTCCCCCATCCAAGGTGTGCCCAGGCCTGTCCATTTCACCTAAGCAGGTCTCTGGTCAATTTCACCTCTGCAACATTTCTCCAACAGGCCCCCTTCTCTCCTCTGACCCTGCCCCCACCCTGGTGCAGACCCTCCTCACCTCGACTATGGCCCTATCTGCTGCCCAATCCACCCTGCACCATCCACCAAGGTGATCTTCCTGAAGGGCAGGCTGGACCAATCACCCCCCACTCAATAAACTCCACCGTCTCCTGATGGGATAGAGGATGTTCTGTCCTGACCCCACTGTTTCAATCCTCTCCTACATCAGCTCCTCCGCACACGCAATGAGCCAGTGACCCCGGCCCCTTGCTCTTCCCCAACAAGATGCTCCAAGCCCAGACTCCGGGCATTTTCTTGGCTGTGCCCCATGCCGGCAATGCCCTCCCTGCCCATCCTCCTCCTGGTCTCCTTCAAGCTGCAGCTAAAACCCCACTGCTGGCCCGGGACTGTCTGCAGGTGGTCTGGGTGCTCTCCCCCAGCAGACTGGGCACTTCCCTGAGGGCAGCCCCCTCCCATATTCCCGAGGCTGGGCATCCCCCAATGTCCATGCCCTTAGGCATTCCCCCCTCCCACAGTGTTGCCTCCATCAGGGCGCAGCCCCAAGCTCGGCACGGGGTCCTCCCCCCCGAGGGCTCACCTGGGGGGCAGGAGCTGCTGGGTGTGCAGGGGCCATGTTCCCTGCTGGGCTCCTGGACTGGCCCAGCCCTCCAAAGGCAGCCACAGGGTGGAGAGAAAGCGAGCTGGGGAGCAGCCTCGAGCAGGACTCTGGGGCTCGGCTGGGGACGGATGCCTGCCCACCACATGCCGCGCCCAGGACCCTTGGCTCCAGGCCACTTGCAGGGACCTCCTCTGCCCCACCTGGGGTAGCACCACGCGGCGGGGCTTCGTCTGGCTCCTGATTGGCTCTCAGGCCTCAGCATCCCCCCGCTGATCCAGCCAGTCACCACATTCTCTTTGGCAGCGGTCTGAATGGGGGGGCGGGGGTTGATTGTGGGCCTGAGGGTACGGAAGTAAGGTCATCAGCCTCCACCCCAAACGAGGCTCCAAGGTGTTCCCGCAACGCTTTCTGGGAATTGTAGTTCGTGGAGCTGGCGGCTTTTGTCTACGCCTGGCTCCCTCCACCTGGCCCAGGTGCTGACCAGGCGCACGTAGGGCAGCGAATGCTCTCCCTAGCTGCTCTCTGCCTGGGTCGAAGCCTTCGGTCCCACTGTAGGGGAAACAAGACCTCCCTCCTTCCCGTTGTCACCCTTGGGTTATCTTCAGACTTTCCCTGTCTAGCACTGTCCCACACCCCCACCCCATGCCCATCCCCTAGTCCTCCTCCCTCTCTGCTCCCCACTCCCCACTCCCCACTCCCAGCTCCCTCCCTCCCCAGCACCTCCTGGTCGTCCCCTCCAGCCTGCCCCATGGGGATGGAGCTGCCTGACTGGGCCCAGCCTTCCATCTGGTCTATTTCTCAGTCAACCAAAAAGCACCTACTGGGTGCCGAGCCCTGCACTCCTTTCTGGGGATGCAAAGAGCAGAAGGAGGGTGTCCGTTCCCCTGGGAGTATGCTTTCTAGCGGGCGGAAGGGTGCAGCTCCGGACGAGTCACTCGGGACAAAGTTAGGGTTTGTTTTCTCAGTTAGGAGAATGAGGTCAAGGGAACCCCGGGGATTCAAGACTCGGGGGCATTCTGTGCTGCAGAAGGGGAAAGGGAAGAGGGAGAGAAATCCCTCTTCCCAAGCTGACCATGGTCAAACAGCCACCTGCCCAGAGGGAGACACCCCCATACAGCAGTTTGGGGGTTTGTTAGCTCAAGGGAGTTTAAGACCCGGTTGAGAAAGCAGAAGCACACACTGGTCACTCAATGGAAGAAATAGCAGAGCAGAGAGGTGGCTGGAGGCTTAAGAAAAGACTTAGCTCTGGCAATTGAAAGTTGAATTGCAAAGAGGAGCAGACTTTGGGAACTGAATAGAGTATCCCACCCAACAGAGACGCTGCAGCCAGAGGGAGCTGCTTTAGGATTTGACAAAGAGAGACGGGAATTCCAGGGCCTAAAGCACCAAAAGTTGTGAGTCGCTTTGCCCACATATATTTTCTATGTGTCCTACTACTATTGTACTTAATCTATGTGCCCGGGGACAGTGTGTATTAGTATGAGAAGGCACCTCGGGTATATAAGAAGACATTTTGTAGCTACTACTTTCACTGTGTAGTATTAGTAATGCCTTTGATAAGAGCTATTCGTGTCTACTGGCTTATTATTAGTGGGAAGCACCCTGTTGGGGTCTCAGGATAATTTTAGTAGTAGGTACACCTAGAACTCAAGGTAGTGGCTGCCTTCTATAGACCCAAATCATAGTTGATTGTGAAAATTGAAAGAAGGTAGCAAAAGAGGAGAGTTGCTACAATAGTATTTATGAATACCCTCAAATTAGCTCCCCTTCCCAAAGCCTTGTCCAGGTTAAACATCTCCTGATTCTTTAATCTTTGACCTGAACTAGGGTTTATTGAAAATTTTGATTTGCTCTGCAAAGGTTCCCGCTTATCCATGTCCATCTTAAAATGTGAGACCCACCCAGAGGTGAAGACAGTATTTTAGGTGTGATCTCTCCAGGGTAGGCTTCCTGGAGGCAGCAGAGTTAGCACCATCTTAGATGCTGTGGCTCTCTTAGCATCAGCCTGAGATCGCTTCAGCTTTCTTAGATATGCTGCATGATATTGCTGAAAATCCACTGGATCCCCCAGCTATTTTTCAGTTGGCCATATGGTGAGCCTCCTTATGGTTGGGAAATTTTTAAAAAATCTAAATGTAAGACTTTTCACTTGTTCCTGTTTGATTTCATTGTATCATGTTTGGCCCAGTGTTCTAACCTGTTAGCATTCTTTACCCAGCTTTGTGTTATTTGAGAACTGGATAGGTTTCCCATCCATGTCACTGGTAACAATGTCCAGCACAGCAGGACCAAGCTCAGAGGCTGGGGGGCATTTCTCTTGAGACATCTCTTCTTAATGCTGTCTAGCCATAAGTGAGCATTGACTTGGTCTGACTTTTCAACCCGTCCTGAATGGAAGAAATGTACTGTCACCTAGCACAAATGCCATTATTTCTTTACAAAAAAAATCACATGAGATACTTTATCATACAGATCTAAGGAAACTTCAGCTACGTCTTTGTCCTGATCTGCCGGTCTAGAAACCAGGAGAAAAATGCCTCTCTCTATGTGCCCAAGTAGATAGATGAGACCCAGGTGAAATTTGGGAAGAAGATCTAAAGGTTAGCTTTGGCCCAAGTCTGTGGTGTCCCTGAAGGGGGAAGTAGAAAGATACTAAATATGCCATGCAAGTCAGGTACAGAACAGTATTTATTTCCTCCCCCACCCCCACAAACAGGCACTGACAAAAAGACCTAACCAAACAGCAGCATCGTAAGCACTGTTAAATAGCAAGTTCCAATAATCATAGCTTCAGGTAGAATCTCTTCCTCTACTTCCTTAAAGAGCTGGATCAATTCTCAATCTCCTGTCTCCTTTACCTGTCTTTGAGACTTTCCAGTTAACAAGCTGCCCTAAATACTCAGCTTCCAATTCCCATCCTCTCAAGAATTTCAAGTTGTATATACTAGGAAACACATAGAGTGTTTTACAAACAATTTAAATTCATACCTGTTATCATTAGGTTAGCTTAAAGTGTGACAGGCTAGAATATGATAAGTTACTGCTTTTGCAATTTCTTACCCTAATATTCTAAATGACTGATTTGTTTTCTCAGGGCGTTTTGTTGATTAGACGAGCCAAGTTTTCCCAAGCAGGGAAGCCTTTGAGAGTTCTCACAGAGGGAGTTAAATAATTTTCAGCTTGAACTGTACAGGGAAACATTTAAGATCTTATATAATAATCACAGATCACAATAACCAATATTTTTACCATATCCAATATTTGTATATTGTTAGATTTATTATGGGCTTCCTATAGATTTTTCCTGAAAGACAGATGGATAGAATTAATCAGATGATTATCTAACTTTACTCTTAGATGAAAGCTGGTTAAAGACTGATCTCTAGAAATCTTTTCCTTTGTAATTTCTAGTTCTTAATGGAAGTCAAAAGACTGTACCTTAAGCTAAACATGGGGCTAGATCCTGAAATCTTAAAATACTGACACCCTAGTTCAATTACTAATCTGCTACTGATTTAACATATTTACATCAGTCTTTTAACTATTACATCCATAACCCAAAAGAATGAAAGAAGAGTTCACATTTCTAACAATATTTCTAATACAATAAATGACCAAAGGGGCAGCTAGGTGGCACAGTGGATAGAGCACTGGCCCTGAAGTCAGGAGGACCTGAGTTCAAATCCAGCCTCAGACCAAACACTTGACACTTATTAGCTGTGTGACCCTGGGCAAGTCACTTAACCCCAATTGCCTAAAAAAAAAAAAAGCAAAAAACAAACAGTAAATGACCAAATTAATGTTAGACACTTTCCTCTGACACATTATAAATCAGATACCTGAGGTATAATAAATTTCACTTGAAATGAGACCAGAATAAATTCAATTACACTAGATTTTATTTTCTAATTGGTATCATATAGAACCTCAATTTATTTTTTTTTAAATTTTTAATATTTAGGCAATTGGGGTTAAGTGACTTGCCCAGGGTCACACAGCTAGTAAATGTCAAGTGTTTGGTCTGAGGCTGGATTTGAACTCATATCCTCCTGACTTCAGGGCCGATGCTATCCATTGCACCACCTAGCTGCCCCCAAGAATCTCAATTTCTAATTAAAAGCAGTATTACATGTTACACAAGGGCTATTTATTCCAGACAATTCATATTATGGAGGCATTATTTCCAGCTAAGCCCCCTGAAAAAGATTATTAAAGTGGTAGTATACAAGATATTTTTTAATTATCACACTTAGCAACACCTTGCTTATTTATTTTCTCCTAACTTTATATAATTGTCTGCACTGGTTTTTAAATCAAGTTACAAAATTTTTACTTAATCTTCCAACCACATCCCAGACTATACCTTATTCCACTGGTTTCTAATATTTCTCTTATCTGAATTCCTCTCATCCTCTCCTTGGCCACAGTTAGAAAGGGAAAGAAAAGAGACTGTCTTTTTTTTTTAATTTTTAAAAGCATTCCAAGTTCTTCTTACAGAGGAGTCAAACTTCCACATGGCTGGGGGCTGGTGGGGCGGGTTGGTCTCACCTCAGTTCTTTCACAGATTTTTCTAAATCTCCCTTAAAACAAATTCTAAAGAATGTTAATGCAACCCTCCAACCTGATCTCAATCCAGGGCCATGAAAGGAAAGGAAGGATCTTTCCCTTTAAACAGTATGTATTTGAAAGCCCTCTCACCAGTGCAGGCTTTAGGTTTATGGACCAAGTGTCATTCAAAGCCATTACTCACTTGCATCACAGTCATGCTGGCTTTTCTTTTTGTCTTCCTTTCTTCATGAGCACAAAAAATCCCTTTCGTGGCTATTTAATTTCACTTTAAATAAATTTGTTGGTGTGAGAAGGTATAGTCTAGGCAAATAAAAGTCCCCTCTAAGGAAAACTCCCAACACAGTGAGAAGTCATGAAAGGTGATGCTTCAATCTAAGGCAGGGCTTTCACCTCTTGGGCAGTCTGGTGAAGCCTATGGACCTCTTCTCAGTAATGTATTTAAATGTATAAAATAAAACACCCAGGATTACAAAGGAAACCAATTATACTGAAATACAAGCAGGGTTGTGCTGGAGTCAGCTCGTAACCAGCTCCACAGAGCCAACTGCTGAATTTTCAGTGTGAGCATTTCTACCTCAGAAATTGGAAAATAATACAAATAAAGGCTTGACTTATGGTTTTGTTGATGTATAGACTTATGTGATAGAGAAAAAAGTGTTAGAGAAAACATTAACGGTTCAAATAAAATTTAAAAGTGTATCAAGCTACACTCTCCCTCCCCCTGAAAGCTGGTTGTTAAACATTGGCCAGCACATCACTATTATCAAAACACGTTAATGGGGGCAGCTAGGTGGTGCAATGGATAGAGCTTCAGCCTTGGAGTAAAGAGGACCTGAGTTCAAATGCAGCCTCAGACACTTGATATTTACTAGCTGTGTGACCTTGGGCAAGTTACTTTACCCTCATTGCCTCAAAAAACCCCCAAACCCCACAAGTTAATGGAACCCATGTTAAGAACTCTTGACTCAGGCCCAATCCTTTTTCTATAGTGGATAATAACTGTAGGAAAGAGTGTTCATAAATGTGAAACCCAGAGGAAATGTTTCAAAGTCTATTCAGACCTATCTAAATGTAACAGAATCTATTAGAGGAAATTACTTCCTAAGTAATTAATGTATGAAATCCTTAAATTATAATGCCCTATTGGATATCAAAGGACAGAACATTTAGAAGTGCAACAAATGTGGGAACATTTTGACCATAGACCATCCGTAACTGTGCCCTACAGGAGAGGGCTCACAGGTCATTGTGCATTGGGGAACTCATACTGAAGAGAAACTTTATAACCGCAACACGCCAGCGCTCAGATCCTACTCTTCATGGGGAATTTGCCCCACAAATATAAAGAATGTTGGGAGGCCTTCAGTCACAGAACGCATATCCTTGCGCCCACTAGGTGGCGCCATAGTGCACAGAGCGCCAGGCCTGCAGGCCAAGGGCGCTTGTCTCTCCGAGTTCAAATGTGGCCTGACATTCAGCTCTGGACGAGTCACTTCAGCCGGGTGGCCTCAGTTTCCTCATCTATAAAATGAGCTGGAGAAGGACACGGCAAGCCCCTCCAGCGTCTTTGCCAAGAAAACCCCAATGGAGCCAGGAAGAGTCGGACGTGACTACGGCAAGGGCTGGTCACAGACCGTGGAGGGTCCCTCGTTCCAATTCGTCCTCCGTTCAGCCGCCAGTCAGGTTGCTCCAGACTCAGTAAACTCCGTGGCTCCCAAATGGTCTGGCATTCAAAGCCCCCTCCTCCCTTCTCAGTCTTGCTACTCCTTGCTCCCCATACTACGCCATCCAGAGATTCCCCCCCCCCGGCTGTCCCACGCACAAAACCCTGCATCTCCAGGCTCTGGGCATTTCCTCTGGCGGCCCCCATGCCCGGCGCGCTCTCCCTCCTCCACTCCAACTGTTGCCCTTCCTGGCTTCCTTCAAAGTCTGGAGGACAAGTTCCCCACCTCCTACACGAAGCCTTCCCGGTGTTGACTACCACCTATTTGTCTAGTCTGTGGTTGCTTTGTATAGGTTTGTTTGCATGCTGCCTCCCCACTATTTTGCCTCTTTTTGTATCTCCAGCACTTAGGGTTAGGCTAACCCTAAACCTAAATTCGAACCTGGCACACAGGAGGCGCTTAATCAACGTTTATTAAGTCAAATTGAGCCCTTGGAGGGGCCAGGGGTCAGGCTGGAGAAAGCCACTAGCTAAGGGGACCGCAGAGGCGCCGAACTGGGCAGGGAAGGGAGGGGAGAAGAAACTCGAAGCTCCACTACAGGGTTAGACCCACGTGTTTGGAGGGTGGGTGTGACTCCGGGCATGCGCACAAGCTACGTTGTCCTCAGGACTACGTTTCCCAGAAGGCGCTCGGAACGGGGTTCCGCCTCAGCTTCCAAAGTTTTACGTCACTTCCGTTTTCCCCAACTTCCCGCCTTTTTGACCGTTAGTGCTCAGGACCTGTCAACCCCGCTCTGCCCGCCCTATTCTCAGTCGACCAGGGTGCGTGAAAGCCCCGCAGGGCTGGCCGAAGGCGGAGAGGGCGGGGTAGGAGGGGCCCCAGCCCCCGGTTTCAGTGTCTGAGTTAAGGGGGAAGGGCAGGAGTGCTGGTGAGGTGATGTTTACGCGTGCAAAGTGTTGGCCACCGGCAGCTAAATCCCTTGTTCGTGGGGGTGGGGGGGAATGGCGTGTCCGGGCTTAGGGAGGAGGGGCCGCGGCCCTGCAGTCAATCAGCGGTGCCGCTGGTCTGTGGAGGCGCATGCGTAGTGCCCTGGGCAGTGTGTGTGTGTGTGTGTGTGTGTGTGTGTGTGTGTGTGTGTGTGTGTGTGTGTGTGTGTGTGTGTGCCCCTTTCCCAGCTCCAGGGTCTGAGAGTGGTTCTAGGTGTGGGGGGGGCCCTCACCATGGCGTGGGTCCCTGGGGGTGGTTCTAGGTCTGGGGCTTCTTTGAGGCTGGAGTCCCTGGGGTGGTTCTAGGTGGGAGGTCTTCATCACGGCTGGGGTCCCTGGGCACAGTTGTCGGTCCAGGGGCTTCATTGGGGTTGGGGTCCCTCACTGAGGGGGGGTATCTGTGGGCAGGGCTCCTCTGGAGGAGTCCTGAGGCAGGGGGCTGGCTTCAGGTGCAGGGTCTGGGCACTTAAGCGGGGCCAGAACCTCTCTGAGTCCTGGGAGCGAGGCTGCCACTCACAGGTTCTTTTCCTTCCCCAGCGCTGCCTCCTCAGCCCCCAACAGGAGGAATGGCCCCCAGGCCCTCAGTGTCACCCACCTTCCAGGTGAGCTCAGGGCCCAAGGGTCATGGGGTAAACTGAGGTCCAAGCAGGAGGCGAGCAGAGGAGGGAACTCATCATGGGTCACCCATAATGGACACGAGGGAGACAGGTTCTGCTGAGTGTAACTAGCCAAAGAGGGGAAGATGGCAAGACATGCCAAGGCTGGAGGTTAGGAACAAATTCCCAGTGAGAAGTGTTCAGGTTAAGTCGAGAAGCATTTGTGAACACTTGCTCTGTATCGGGCACTGTGTTAAGTGCCAAAGATAGAAAGAAAAGCGAAAGCAGGCTCTCCTCTCAAGGAGCTCACAGGATAATAAGTGAGACAACATGAAACAACCACAAACAAATGAGATACATACAACCAGAGGGGAAAAAGAGACTTTAGCTGGTACTTGAAGGAAGCCAGGAGGCAGACATGAGGAGGGAGAGACTTCCATGCTTGGGGAACAGGCACTGAAAAATGCTGGGAGATGGTGTCCTTTCTGCAGAATAGTAAGGAGGCCAGTGTAACTAGATTACAGATTGTGTATTAGAAGTCCTTTATTTCATTAAACGCCCACTTTTTACCCCATAGGATTATACTCAGTTTTGTGAGTAAGTTATTCTTAGCTGTAAGCCTATATCTTTTGCCTTCCTGAATATTGTATTCCAAGTTCTCTGTTCCTTGGTAGTAGTGGCTATTAAATCCTGTGTGACCCTGACTAGACTCCCTCAGATCTTGAATTTGTTCTTTCTGGCTGCTGGGGGTATTCTTTCTTTGACTTAGAAGCTCCAGATTTCAGATATGATATTCCTAGGAGTTTCCATTTTGGGGGTTTCTTTCATGAGGTCACCAGTAGATTGTTTCTTCTTTATCCTCTGGTTCTAAGAGATTTGGGCAGTTTTCCTTTATGATTTCTTGTAATACCACGACTAGGCTCTTATTTTTTGGTCGTAGCTTTCAGGTAGTATGATGGTTCCTAAATTATCTCTCTTTGATCTGTTTCTAGGTCATTTTTTTTTTTGTTAGGCAGATGGTGCACCACAGTCACCGAGTTCTGGACCTGGAGTCAGGAAGACAAGTCCAAATTCAGCCTCCAGCTCTATGACCCTGGACAAATCACTTCACCTCACCTCTCAGCCTCAGTTTCCTTGCTGTAAAATGGAGATTATAATAGTATCGACCTCCTAGGGTTGTTGTGAGGATCAAATTAAGTAGCCCCTGTAAAGCACTTTGCTTTGGAAGTCTTAAACCACTGTATGGATGCCAGCCATTATTAGTACTCTGAGCTACCTTACATTTTCTTCTACTTTATGTGTTTTGATTTTGTTTTAATATTTCTTATCTTTCATGTAGTCATTGACTTCTATGTAGACCATTCTGATTTTCAGGGAGTTTACTTCTTGGGCAAGGTTTTGTACCTTGTACAAGCTGTTAATTCCTTTTACAATTATTTCTTCTGTAGCTGTCATTTGTTTTCCCATTTTTTCCTTTAGTGCTTTCATTCATTTATAAAAAATCTTTTAAAACTTTTTTTTTCCAGTCTCTTCCAGGAATTCTAGTTGAACTTGTGCCTGAGCTGTGTTTTTCTCTGCTTGCAGAAGTTTTGGAGTTATTATATTTTTCTGGGTTTGTGTCTTGACCGTCTCTGTCACCATAATACTTTTTTGTGGTAGAATTCCTTTTTTATTTGCTCATTCTTCCAGCCTACTTGGAATTTATGTTAGGTCCTAACACACTTCTGGAAGAAATGGCTAGTGAGAGCCTGTGTCCTCTTGGGTCTTTCTGTTGCTTCTTTCTTGTGGTGTTGTTCTAGGCTTTCAGAGAAAGCTTGGGCTGGGGACCTGCAGACTTTTGGTGCTTTCAAAATCAGGACAAAGACTGATCCCTCCGCCCTTGGTCTGAGCTCTGCAAGTTTCTGACCTAAATTTGGCTTTGAGCAGCATGTCTGTGGACTTGCTCCATTTGGAGTTCTAAGAGCCTGCTGCTGGATTCATTCCCTCTCAGCCCACTAGAAGGCTAGTCCTAGCCCTTGAACTCCGCCCCAGTACCCATCATTCTGCATCTGTGACTGAGCACGGGGCTGTGAGCCACGCAGCTGTCCGATGGTGCTTGTTCTTGTGTTCTGCACAGATCTCGGACAGCTTCTTGTGCTGGCTCGTGGCCTTTCCCTGTGCCAGAGTCTCCTGATTCCCAGGCAGACCCTACCCCCAACATCCGTAGAGTTCTTTTGGCTTTTTTCCCTGTGCCAGCTTGGGGTGGAGAAACAACTCACTGTGATTTTTTTTTCTTGGATTTTCCTATAAAGACTTAGCTTGGTCCATTTTCTAGATCTTTCTGTTGGAGTTGTGAAGGGTAGCTCAGTAGTACTTCCTGCTGTTCTGCCATCTTGACTACCGCCCAGGAAGATTGATTTGTCAACTGAAAGGATTGACTGGAGTGCGATGAGACTTGAGGCAGGCAGACCCACCTAGAGGCTATTGCAGTGGTCCAGGAGGGGGGTTGATGAGCACCTGCATGGGGGTGGGGGAAGATGCCTGTGTCATGGGAGAGATGTTATGAAGGTAGAAAAGACCAGACTTGTCGACTGATTGGAGACGGGCATGAGGGTTGGGAGAGATTGAGGAGCTAAGGAGGATACCTGGGTGGAGAGTGGGAAGAGGGCAGAGTTTAGGGGGAAAGACAATGAAATCTGTTTTGAACTTACTGAGTTTAAGATGTCCAGTAGACAGAGATACAAGACTGGAGGTCAGGAGGGAGGTTAAGGCCCAATAAATAGATCTGTCCAAACATAGGAGGTGGTGTGGAGAGGGGTGTTAGATAGTGGGGTTCCCTTCTCTGGAGATCTTGAAGCAAAAGCTGCATGGCCACTATTCAAAGAGAGGGCAGAGGGGAATCTGTTCAGGTCTGTGTTAGACTAGACAATGACTTCACGCTTCCTGGATACTGGCACTCAGTTCGCCGTGTGTTCAGTGCTGTGTGCCTTGGCGCTGTGCTAAGCCCGGGGTTACCGGGAGAGGCAGAGCTATGCCCTGTTCTCACAGAGTGCACAGTCTGATGGGGGGAGACCAAGTTCCTTGTACAGACTACGTGATATCAAGGGGGTTAATTGAATATTGTGAAGGCTACAAAAGAGGTTGTGTAATGCTACTTGGGTTGAGCTGGAGCTGATCCTTAATCATTTACACTGATTCTCCAATCACCTAAGTGAGATTCCAGGCTGGAGAGGGGGCGGCTTTATTTGGAGGGATCCTAGGGCCCCTGCCCTGGGGAGTATGAGCGCACTCCCAGGATGCCTTGGGGAGAGGACAAAAAGGATTCCTGATTGGTATTCAGAGGCCACTGGCTGCCTTTAAGGACCCAGGAGGATGGCTCCCTCTTCATGCACTCTAAAAGGGAGATGATGGACCGCCCGTTGCCTTGGCATCATCAGAAAATAGCATTGTGGAACACAGAGAGCCTGGGGCCAGGTGGAGAGGGAAGCCTGTGCCCATGCCTATGGCCCCTTGGGACAGAGCCCTGGGAATTCCTCCTGTGAGGAAGCATCTCATCAGCAGCCTGGGAGCCCCGGCTTCAGCCTGAGCATGCAGCAGGGACTCTTGGCTGTACCAAAGGGCCTGAGAGGCTCAGTCGTGAACAGCCTGTTGTGTGGAGGAAGCAGTGAATGTTGGTTACTCTCCACAGTGTCATCCGGTAATGTCGCCTCCTGGCCTGACAATCCTGGACAGCACCAACCCAGGGCCATTGGGAATTCCCAAGGGGGAGTTTGGGAATCAGGCTTTCCTGATGCTCCTTGGAGAAAGAAGATGCCCGGCATGTGCCTTCTGGGCAGTGGGAAGGATGACCCAGTGAACCTGCAATGACTCTAGGACTTTGTAGGGGGATAGCAATCCATTGGCCTGGTGAAGGGAGTCTGGTTCTTTTGGGGGGCTGCCATTGGTCTTCTGTCTGTTGATCGGCTCCTTCCAGGCCGGGAGGAAAGGCTGCCTTCCTCAAAGGTGTCACAGGCCAAACTTGGAGAAATGTGGACATGTCAGCACCTTTTCAAGGTCTTCTCAGGAAATTTCCCAGAGCACCTCCCACAGTGGACAGTGAACCAAAGAGAAAACACCAGCCCTCTCCATCAGGTGCCCGGGATCAAATCCAGGCCGCTTGGGGACTGGGCTGTGGAGTAAATGACAATAACAGATTTCACTTATTGCCCAAGCCCTGGTTAAATGCCAGCGCTGTGCTAGAGTGTGCATCCAGAGACAAAGGCACTTCCCCCCAGGGACAGCGGGAGCCCCTACAAAGAACATCCAGAGCTCACTGTCTGACAAGGCCTCGCGTGGAGGTAGAGCTGGAAAGGAAGCCGGCATTCTGCAGGGCGGAGGGGGAGCAGGGGTGCAGGGACAGCCAGGACCGAGCCTCGCCAGAAGCGGTGACGGCTGCGGCGGCCCCTCCCACTGCCCATCACTACGACCCTGCGCGGGAGGCAGCGCAGAGGGGGCTCCCCCTGCTGGACAGAGAAGGGACATGACTTGCCTGGGGGCCCGAGGGGCTGCGCCTGCCAAGAGCTAGTGCTGCGGTGGAGGCTTGTGCCTGGGGTACTTGGCTGGTGAGTGTTGCTGGGCTGTGCGAGTTATGTCTGCAGAGATGCTGATAATCAACATGCATGTATTAATTGCCTACTGTATGCCAGGCACTGTGCTAAGCATTCCTGCTTTGAAGGAGCATGTGTTCTAAGGGAAGGAGTCGGCATATATGAAACAGTGCATATTAGTTAAATAACCCACATGTACTGTCTTTGGCTTTCCTTTGTATCCCCAGCACTTGGAACCATGCCTGTCACAGAGTAGATGCTTAATTAATGTTTGTTGACTTGTAAGACCCAGAAATCACATGCGTTCACTGCCACCATTCTGTAAGAGGAAGATGCTTCTATTTTACCCACGGAAACTAAGGCACAACAGATGGGTAAGTGACATGTCCAGGATTGCTCAGCTAATAAGTGTGTGAGATGGGATGAGAAAACAGCAGGTCAGGGACATGAGCAGCCTGGCAGCTTCTGGCATTACTTCCTCCCTGTATTCTGTAAAGTCTACTTTGGATGATCCTTTGGGGACATGTCTGTTATTTGGGTTTTTTAGAACTGCCAGGGCTGGCTTCGTGAATGCATCGGCACTGCTTCTCAGAAATGCACAAGGGGCACGCTGCGCCTCCTGAGAGCAGGTATTCTGAAGCGTGTGCCCTTTCCGTCAGCTCTGGTCACAGCTTCTCAGAGCTGAGGCCACACTCCTTGGCCAGTTATGCCTGTGACTGGCCTTGCACATCAGATCATGTCTGTAAAGTGCTTTGCAAACCTTCAAGCTGACAGGAATGTTAGCTGTTACTACAATTGCTATGTCATTAAACTGCTAAGAAGATTTCTTGTTTAAAAAGGATGTCGCTCCCCTCAGCGCCACGTAAGTGCTAAGTTTCTGTAGCACCTTTATTCCTGGCCCTTTCCACATCCCAGTGAGATAAGAAAAATGAATGTGCTGCTCCCTTGCCTGGCCCTCCATTTAGCCACTCCTGCCCCAGAATCCTTGGGGGCTTGGAAAAAAGGAAGAGGGCTGACCAGGGTCTCAGTCAGGACCCTTCTGTGTAAAAGAGCCTACCGTATAGCTAATGCACAAGCTTTCCTGCTGGTCTTGCATTGGAGGGTTGGGGGCTGCAGCCCCCTGAGGTATCTAGAAACTGACCAGTGTTAGACCCCAGGCACTTCTGCTACCTGCACAGTTAGAGGAGGAGTCCAGCCTAGCAGCCCTGCCCCCAACCCTTGTGCAGTCTCTGCCGGTGGAGAACTCCTTCTGTCAACCTCACTGGACACACTGTGCTTAGTCTGCCTTTCTTGACTTCCTGGGTGGTGTGGCCAGTTTATCACAAAACCACCGCCGCGAAATGTGGGAAATAATGCAGAAAGTAGAATCTGAACCGTTCTTTCCTCAGCTCTGTCCTGTGAACCTTCCAAAAAACAGGTGAGCCCAATAGTCTCAACTAGGGGGCGGGTCCTTGTTGCTTTGATGGGTTTGCTTCAAGGACCAGGGGGTGGGACCTTGCCATGCCATGAAGCTCATGGTTAGTGGAGTGTGGTGGGCCAGGAAACA